CCCCCCTCCCCTCCCATCCTCCTCCCTCCTCCCCCCTCCCCTCCCATCCTCCTCCCTCCTCCCCCCTCCCCTCCCATCCTCCTCCCTCCTCCCCCCTCCCCTCCCCTCCTCCTCCCCCCTCCCCTCCCATCCTCCTCCCTCCTCCCCCCTCCCCTCCCATCCTCCTCCCTCCTCCCCCCTCCCCTCCCATCCTCCTCCCTCCTCCCCCCTCCCCTCCCATCCTCCTCCCTCCTCCCCCCTCCCCTCCCATCCTCCTCCCTCCTCCCCCCTCCCCTCCCATCCTCCTCCCTCCTCCCCCCTCCCCTCCCATCCTCCTCCCTCCTCCCCCCTCCCCTCCCATCCTCCTCCCTCCTCCCCCCTCCCCTCCCATCCTCCTCCCTCCTCCCCCCTCCCCTCCCATCCTCCTCCCTCCTCCCCCCTCCCCTCCCATCCTCCTCCCTCCTCCCCCCTCCCCTCCCATCCTCCTCCCTCCTCCCCCCTCCCCTCCCATCCTCCTCCCTCCTCCCCCCTCCCCTCCCCTCCTCCTCCTCCTCCCCCCTCCCCTCCCCTCCTCCTCCCCCCTCCCCTCCCATCCTCCTCCCTCCTCCCCCCTCCCCTCCCATCCTCCTCCCTCCTCCCCCCTCCCCTCCCATCCTCCTCCCTCCTCCCCCCTCCCCTCCCATCCTCCTCCCTCCTCCCCCCTCCCCTCCCATCCTCCTCCCTCCTCCCCCCTCCCCTCCCCTCCTCCTCCCCCCTCCCCTCCCATCCTCCTCCCTCCTCCCCCCTCCCCTCCCATCCTCCTCCCTCCTCCCCCCTCCCCTCCCATCCTCCTCCCTCCTCCCCCCTCCCCTCCCATCCTCCTCCCTCCTCCCCCCTCCCCTCCCATCCTCCTCCCTCCTCCCCCCTCCCCTCCCCTCCTCCTCCTCCTCCCCCCTCCCCTCCCATCCTCCTCCCTCCTCCCCCCTCCCCTCCCCTCCTCCTCCCCCCTCCCCTCCCATCCTCCTCCCTCCTCCCCCCTCCCCTCCCCTCCTCCTCCCCCCTCCCCTCCCCTCCTCCTCCTCCTTCCCCACCCCCTCTCTTCCCTTCCCCTCCCCTCCTCCTCCCCCCTCCCCTCCCCTCCTCCTCCCCCCTCCCCTCCCATCCTCCTCCCTCCTCCCCCCTCCCCTCCCCTCCTCCTCCCCCCTCCTCCTCCTCCTCCCTTCCCCTCCCTCCCGCACCCCTCTCCTCCCCCCACATCCACCACTCCCCCCCTCCTCCTCCTCCCTCCCCCACCCCCTCTCCACCCCCCCACATCCACCAGTCCCCTCCCCACCCCCTCTCTTCCCTTCCCCTCCCCCTCCTCCTCCTCCTTCCCCTCCTCCCCCCTCCCCTCCCATCCTCCTCCCTCCTCCCCCCTCCCCTCCCCTCCTCCTCCCCCCTCCCCGTAGTGTGCGTACGTGAGTCAATCGAGTGAGAACAGAGAACACATGTGATGAAAACGTGTATAGAGTGGAATTGGTAAATCGAAAATACTTATTTTTATTTCTATTATTATTATTTTTTATTGTTTTGTTGTTCGTATTATTTCGTTTGTTTGTTTGTTTGTTTGTGTTTTTGGTTAGTGGTGGTTTGAATTTTTTTCCTTTTTTTGTGTAATTATTATACGAAGAAGTTGAAGTTTGTTGAAGTTTGTATATATATATATATTGGTTTTATTTGTTTTTTAATGGGATTTATGTTGAAATACACGTGTTCTATATTTTGTATTTATTCTTTGTATATATTTCCCGTTGCCTTTATTTCACTGTCACTGTAATTAGAAATGTTTTTTGAAAGTTAATACAGGAGAGTTTGTAAGTAGAAAGAAATAGATGATTATAATATTATTTTTATTTCTGTTAGCTTTGGGTTATATGTTAATATTAAGGAATTTGTTAGAAGAATATAAGAAAGGGTAAATATATAATAAGATAAAAAGGGAAATGCATAGGAGAGACCCAAAGTGGCTTTCTAAACTGGACTGTTTCTTTGTAATTATAAACTTAATTAATTAAAATCCACGTAAAAGGTTTTGTCATATATCCAACTTGATGTGTTATATTAGGCTTAGTGATTGCTTCAGCCTCTGTACCATTGGCGCTGTGGCAAAGGGCAACACCTCTCTGCCGCGTGTATGCTATCTGGATTAGGGGTTAGAATGGGTAGAATGGTCGTTCAATTGACGATAAATTTGACTGACATCTCTGCCGCATGTGTTACGTCTGGATAAGGGGATAGAGTGGTCGTTCATGTGATGGTAAATTGTCCGGGAGGTAAAGAGGCTAGAATGCATGTGATGGAGTCTTGTTGGTCTTTGCCAGAGTTGCGAAGGTACGGAAGATAATGGCATCTATTAGGTGTTTGCGTAAATATGAATTAAATACTTTAATGTTATTATTTCTGTCTATGATTTTAGGAGATTTAACTAGAGAAATTGAATTGGAAGAATGCAGGCAGTATAAAATCACAGATATATTTGAGGTTTACAAGTAGTTACCGATTCATGATTATATATTAAGTGCATTTATTATGAAGCTGAAAATACGTCTCTGGTGTACATTATCTGAAGAGAATTATCTGGGGAGTTCTGAAGTGGCTTTCATAATGGGTCTTTTATTTCTTTTGAGATTGTTGGCCGTAATCCATCTAAATCCACGCAAAGCAGTCTATTATTTGTGATGGAAAGCATTTTACGTGTCTTGTCATTAAATGCTATTGTCGTGGGTTTTTATGTCTTTTTTTGATGAAATTCAAAAGGCTTAAATTTTGGGCGGCGTTTAAATTTTGTGACTTGTGATAAATTATTTAAGTTCCGTAAGCGAGGAATTAAAGTTCTCTTAATTTTCATGAGGAATTATATTCATTTTCCATTTTGTGAGGAATGGAAAAAAAAAAGACACTTTTACGATGAAAAGATATTTTGTGTCTAAAATAAACTATTCTATTATTCACACCCTTGCTTTAAAAAATGTGAAAAATCATACATTATCTTGAATATTTGAAGTATTAGTATGTATTAATAAAAGTCATATATAATTTCAGATAGTATTAAGATTTCTCATTATTTAGTAAAGATTTGGTGTTGACTTTAAAGTGTGAAAAAATTCTTATGTATATTTTATAAGATTTTTTTTTCTTTTTATTATTCAAATATGTGGAATTATTGGGGATATTGATAAATGTTATTTTTATTGTTATTTTCCATAATGCTTTAAAAATTTT